TCAGGCTCTGCCCCATTTGTCCCTGATTCATCCACTTCTTTTCATTTTCATCAGCAGCTGAATGGAGGAAGCCTGTCCGGCTGCCCCAGCACTTCCGGGTTCCTGATGGTGCCGGACCATCAGGAGTCCCGGAGCATTGGATGCCGGACTAATGGAGTTTTACTGAATTAGTAGTGTAGGAGCGGGAGCAAGGTCAACAAACTAATAAGTGTGTAAAATTACCAAATTCCCCAGAAAAACACTACAGTGGAATAAGATTTAAATTTTAAAGAGTTCAATTCTGCCCCAGCACTTCCGGGTTCCTGATGGTGCCGGACCATCAGGAGTCCCGGAGCATTGGATGCCGGACTAATGGAGTTTTACTGAATTAGTAGTGTAGGAGCGGGAGCAAGGTCAACAAACTAATAAGTGTGTAAAATTACCAAATTCCCCAGAAAAACACTACAGTGGAATAAGATTTAAATTTTAAAGAGTTCAATTTATTTTAGGGTAGGTTGGATAAATCAGGGCTTATACTGTCTCAAAGGGGTAGCTATGTTGCTCTGTAACTTTAAAAAAAAAGAGTAATCCTGTAGCACCTTAGAGACTAACAACAATACGTAATTAATTAAAACAATTAAATAATTAATAAAACCATAAAATAATTAGCCAGCCAGAATCCTAATTAATTATGGAAAAAAACTGCTGCTATTTCATAATATTTTTAAGAACGTACTCTGTCTCCCTATCTGATCTCACACCGGCTAATGTTTCTTGGCTACATTCTGCTCTCTCTCTTTTTCTCTATCATGTCCCCTCTTATAAATCTCTCTTCTCCATATATAGTTCCATATTTTTCACTCTCTCCATGAAAGAAAGTCTCTCTTTGCTTGTAAGAGGTTTTGTCAGCACTCATCTGAGATAACACGTGTAATTCAACTGTTGGCTGCATCACTTGTGAATAAATGCAGTCAGCTCAAAAACACAATATAGCCTCCATACTATATGAAGCATTTTACATGCACATCTAGTGACAAATAGAAGATAGTGGGAGGGACCCTAAAACATTTAATTGACTTGTGCTTGGGTTGAACATAACCTATGAGATACGAAGACACTATTCTAGGTAGGGGAACAGCCAGCAATGTCCCCATACAAACTAGTGGGAGCTTCACCCCTCCACGCCATAAAAGGCACCTGCGGGAACAGGTCTTCAGGGGGCTAGGGCAGGGGTGGGAAACCTCAGGCCTAGGGGCCGGATGTGGCCCCCATCTTGCCTAGATCTGGCCCCCAAGGCTCAGCATATTTCTCCTTTTCAGTCGGGGGCTACTCACTTGTGTGTGGTCCCCAACTGATTTTTCAGTAGGTCAGCAGCCCCTGACCCAAAAAAGGTTCCCCACCATGGGATAGGGCTTCCAAACTCCCTAGCCTGCTGCTTCTGCTTTTGGGCTCTTAGGGCTCTCAGGGCTGCTGGGGGAAGAAGAGGAAATATTGCTGGTTTCCCTCTTCAAGCACAGTGGGCTCTTATTTATCACAATAAGTTCATGCATCCAGAGTCCTTGCATATGTACTGAACCCCTCTGCTCCACCCCCGCAGCCTGTACCCCAAACCTTTCATCTCTGGCCCCACCCCATAGCCCACACACCCAGACATGGCATTCATCCCCCTCCTTAGCCCCTTGTCCCTGAGGCCTCACCCTGGATGGAGCCTGCACTCTAGTCAAACGATATCACTGTGCTGTGTCATGGGCATCAACAATTTTCTACAACTGGATCACAAGAAAAAAAGTTTGAAAACCACTGGGTTACATTGTGGCTTATGCCCTAAAGTATGAGGTTTAGTAATCCTTCCAAAATTAATTATGACAATTCTGTCCTTGTTAGCCATATAAAAGTATCCAATCCTTTGTTGACTGTTTCTATGTTCTTGTCCTGGAGCACTTCTTGTGGCAATGAAATCCAGCCTAATTACACAATATATGAAAAAGTGTTTCCTTTTATTTATTTTGAATATGTTACTTTTTCATTTCATGGATTGTCTCCTTGTTCCCTTGGGCAAGGGGAACAGATGCTCCTGATCTGTCTTGTTTATGCCATTAATTATTTAATGTATTTTATCATTGTTTTATATCATTTGTTTGTAAACTAGACAGTCAATCTTTTCTATATCTCTGTATTTATTTTAAACTCTCTTCATCTGAAAAGGTTCTTCTGTAAACCTTTATTTAAACAAATAAGTAGAAAGAAAATCTATTCTTTTGCCTCTTTATGTTTTTTTCTGTTTCATTTCAAGTAAAGATTCTAATGAGTCAGTTAATAAAACAGCAAGTTGTTAATAATTTTTGTATATTCAGGAATACATCTGATAATAGAATGCTGTGATCTAAGTCATCTTTGAGCGTGTTTCTTCTTAGCAGTGTTTGGATCATTTATTTACAAAACTAGAGACTAAGTCCTCAGCCAATTTGTCCTTAGTAGTCCATTGTTCAGAAAAGCTATTAAAAACTGCTACACAGAACGTATGCTCTGAAAGCACAATTTAGTGTACCCTAACCTCTTCATTAAGAAAATAACCTTCTTCCTGTACAATAAAATGAATTCCTTTAAGGTTATTCTTCTATTTAGTCTGATTCGCAAGGATTGGAGTAGACTTTGCTGTTGGCATGCCATATGCATAAAAACTCAACATCATCCTAGTTAAAATTGCCAACTATCTAACAGTGGTGGAACTTACACGTAAAATAAAAGCATTCTACCCACTTTATTATTGTTTACTTAAACTGTTTTTGGGCACTGGGCAATGTGTGTTATGCATTTTTTCTGGGTTGGGCCTCATTTGAAAGAATGCTGTGTGCTTGCTCTGAAACTCATTGCATTGCTGCATGTAACTATGTAAATACCTTGTTCACCACTTCCCTGGATGTGACATTCCTCTGGTTACTAAATGGACCACTGAACTGCTATGTCCCTTCAACTCCCCAGGCTGGTATCCTTCTTACATTGCTTCACTAGTGAAATGAAGCCTCTCCAGACTCTGCTCACACAGAGACATTAGCATGCAGAGTCACTCCCAGCAAAGTTACACGAATGCTTTCTCAGCCACCAACAAACTGTGTGTAGTGTGACACCTGCTAATTCTTATCCACAGTCTTGTATCCCAGAGACGTGTCTTGCACTGTTCAGCTCACTACTGAACAAACCAAGCTTGTTAAATCAGTCATTTCGTCAAAGGAAATTACTGTGCCCTAGCCTTTATAAACCTGAGTAGAGATTCCAGAAACACTTCAACCAAACACATTGGTTTAGATAAATCAATAAAACGTGTATTTACTAGAGAAAGATATATTTAAAGCCATTATAAGTGACAAAGGAAGAAAAGTTGGAGTTGGTTAAAGAAGAAGTAAAAGATAAACCACAATCTAATTCCTAAATTTTACCAAGCTAAAAGGCTTTGGAAGTAAAAAGGTTTCTCATCCAAAAGCTTAGAGCAGTTCATACTACCTGGAATGCTTTCCAGCTTAGACCCCTCCATCTCTCACACGCAGAGCTCAGGGATGCATGAATTGTCTTTCAGGTCAGCTTGCTGCTGTGAAGAGAGATGAGGGAGGAGAGGTGAGGACTAGGTCACTGTCTCTTCTTTTTATATTCTGACCCATTATTCTGAAAAAGTCTTTGCTGTGTCATGGGGTCAGCAGTTCCATTGTGTATGTGTAAGCTTTACTTCAGGTAAGTTGTAAATATCTTTACAACTTTCCTGCTGGTGAATTTCTGATCAAACAGGTAATGACTTTTTAGCTCCCCGCAGGTATGCAAGTGTTTCTTTGTCTGTGAAAAAAGTAGATTGAGCCTGCTTTTCTTAACTTTTTAACATGCTGCAGTAAAATCATTATTATAAATCTCGTAACTTTACATACAAAGTTGCCACATCTATTTTACGAGAATGATAATGTTGAGTAGGTTATGAGTTTTCCAGTGATATCTCACAAGGTATACTTTATACAATATATCATAATCATAACAGGTGAACCTGGGGAACAAGATATCATATTAAGTATGGGGTGTCACAGTGGATGCAACTGATTTCCTTTCAGACTTGCCATTTAACATCTGTGGCCTTATTTCTTGATGGTGGATTGATTTTACCAATAAAATGGGTGAAAAA